CATAATCGAACATAAGATTTGACATAAAAGTAATGTGATTTGTGGCTAGATAGCTCAGTTGGTTAAAGCGTCAAGCAAAATATTAAAACCTAGACTGTTGTTCATAACTGGTCCTATGCTAAATAATATCTTTGAATATAAATTATTCCTAATTAGACTCGTTAGCCGCCACTATTTATTCGCCCCCTGCCAATTTTGTTAATAGCCATTAACCGCCAGTTGTTTACTAATACCCACGATTAGCCGCTATTTTAAAGTCTAACCGCCGCTGCAAATACGGTTTAAAATATAGCCTACCCTTGTTTTTAAAAATAAATTAAAAGATTTTATTCTCTTTATTGAAAATATAGTTTGTGTAAAATCTATAGTTTTGTTTATTTTAATACTATAGTCAGGTATGTTAAATCCAAACTTAATTCTGAAAATTTTCTTCATACTTTGGCGCGTTCTTGTTTTGCTCGATTAGTTATTTGATAGTATTTGCTGTCACATACGAGACCACCTGTTTTCTGGAAAAATCTTATTTTTATTTTCAGGGTACATTTCTTTTTGCTTAAAATGTTAGTATTGAATTATTTACATCGTTGGTTTAGGTTGTGTTTTAGAAAATTATCCTAATGCAAAGAAACTACTGCTTCAAGAAAATACAGCTGCGCTTCCAAATTACGATCAAAATGGTCATCAAAAGCCTGAGAAGTCAATAATTATATTAATTGTCTACCAACAGAAGAAAAAAGAAAAACACTCTGTAGAGTTTTGGAAAATAATTATAAAGTTTCCCTATCTGGCATGTCTGGCAAGTGAATATTTCTGCATTCCAAATAATTTTAAAAATGATTTTTTTTTTTTTTTTTCGTTTTTAAACTTTAGGATCAAGAAAATAAACAGTTTAGTAGAAAAGAACAAACTACTAGCTTTTTTCATAAGTGGTGGTAGTGGTCATTAGTGGTAATGATATTAATAATTTTTTATTAATGATTTTTCCACTTTTTAATAGAAAGGAAACACAAAACATTTTAAAAACAATTGACTGTGTTTGAAAAATTTTGGAAAATGCATATACAATAATTATGATTATGAATACAAAAACTAGAGAATAAAAATAATAGAAATTATATAAAACAAAAAAACAAGGAGCTTAATATTTAAGATGGATTGAGTTTATCTTCAAGACCCCAAGAAAACAGAACTCAAATATTAGCTTACAATTATAAAACATTATACCAATATGTCAAAAACATTATAGGGGTTGTCCATAAAATGTCATGCTATTGTTTTCAATTTACAACATACTCCCCCCTCCTGTCACAAACTGTCACATAATTCTGCATCCCCCTAAAAAGGATGTCAAATATTCCCCCCCCCTCCTTCTAAAACAAAAAACAAACAAATCATTACGGAATTTTCAACATTCTAACAACATAGTAATAGCTATTAACAGATTAAAAAAGACTCAATTTAACTAATTTGGAATACCTTCTTAATTTATTCGGAAAGATTGTCATAATAAAATAAAATAATAATACTTCTTTTATATGAACCTGGTATTTTTGATGGAATTTGATAATAATCTGTTTCTTATTGGCTATTTAATGCATGAGCAAGTCTATTTAACTTAGTTATCATATATTATATATTTATATAGTTATATTTTCTTGCTTAAATGTAAATGTAACTAAAACTCTAGTGTTTATATAATGTCATAGGATTCAAAAAAATAAATAATATAAAAGATAATATATTTCACATATGTTTTATTAAGGAGAGTGTTGCAGAAATTGAAACAGCGCTATAATTGGAACACTTGAATTTATTTTTGAAAAAAATTAATTATGGCTATATTTCGCATTTTTTTAGTAAAATGCATTATTTTCTGCGTTTTGACACATTTTGAAAGTTATTCCTCAAAAAATGCATTTGCACCATTGATTCAAAGTTTTTTTGCGTCACTTTTGTTCAGCGATCTAATTTTGTGTTCACACTATATTGATTGCACTGAGTAAACTATGGTGATACAGGTTATACCGCTTTTTGTGTTTAATTCAAAGGGATTTAAAATTCAAAATAACAATATAAACTTATCTTAAGTTGCTGCAAGCATGTTATTGTAGTGATATAACAAAATAGTCGAAAGTTTCCTTGATTGGAACATTGAAGTTTTTCTTACCTAATCAGTAATAAAATCAAAGGGTTGTAAAAGTAGTTCAAGTGCAATTTAAAAAATACTTAGTAACAACCATAAACCTTAAAAATAATACTTTATTTAGTGATTTTTAATCAGTAAATTTAGAGAATGTCATAACAGTTAAAGATATATACAATTTTTTGTTTGTAGACTTTAAATTTATTAGGGTAATACTAATCCTATAATAAGTTTTGAATTAACTGTTTAAATTTTCACTGTAAAAATGAAAATCATTTTTTACAAATTTTTGTTGATATTACTGGAGTTTTTCTTTTAAAAAAATAACCTGTTCTGATAAAGGAATCAAAGTGTTCCAACTTAGGGAACCAGTTGCCTTAATTGGAACAAAATGGTTACTTTGCGAAAACAAATTTATTTCCAATAAGAGTGCAATCAATTAAGTCAAATTGTAGTTAAAAGTATAGTACAGATATCTGTTTGTTAATCAAACTATAAATGTTTTCATAGTTAAGCCATCTTTGGGTAATAAATATTTATTCCTTAAGTGTTCCAATCAAGGCAACTCTCCCCTACTTATTTAAACCCTCCATTTAAAATTCTAAACTTAAACTAAACGTTCTTAATTTAATGATTTTGTATCGCTGCGCTTCAATGTCTTCAGAAACGTGAAGGCAGTTTTTGTAAACTTTTAAAACTATTTAAAATAAGGCAATATGCATAACATGAATAGTGTGAGGAAAATTTTTGACAATGTGAAACACTTATTTAATTGAATGAGTAAATATGTAGAAAATAAACTGTCATGATAAAAAATATTTGCGACATCACATTTATCAACCCCCCCCCCCTTGTCACAAAATTATACCTCAAAGTAGCGTGACATACTTTATGGATGACCCCATACCAATATATCTGAAACATGCTAAAAACTGTTTAAATATGGAATAACTTCTTAATAATAGCAAATCCATAAAACAACTAATTAAAATAAAATAATAACCATGATAATAATAACAAATTTTTTTTTTTTGTAAAAATATTGGATATCACAGAGGTTTTATGATTTTTACCTGAAAAGGTCATGTTTTGAGTTAGTTAGGACCATTACAGGCCTGGTTATCAACAATAATTTCAAATAATAATCTCAGCTGGGAATAATATTTTTCTTTTGGAAATACACAACAAAAGTAAAAATGGTGACTTTTTCAATATTGTTCATATATAACAGGGTTGCATGGTTTTAACCAAATGGCTTAAACCATTGGTTTAAACCATGGTTTAAACTAATTAAAAAAATATTGGTTTAAACCAAACTCATGTTTTTTTAAAAAGATTTGAACTTATAACAGGAAACCAAGACAGAGTTATGTTCACAAATATAACTAATCTTCAATATAGATATATTCTTTTAAATTTATGATTTTTTTTTTTTTTTTTTTAAACTTATCAATATGCTTCATCCAGGATACACTCTACCTAATAGAACTCAAATTGGAGGAGAAATATTAGATATAGTTTACAAAGAAGAAATTGAAAAATGTAATGTATTGAATGGGAAAATTGCAGCCATGTCTTTAGATGACTGGAGTAATGTACATAATGAACAAGATAAAATTAACATTTTAGTAGAAACAATCAACACTTCTGGTCATTCACGTACTGGTGAATATCTTACACAATTAGCAAGAGAAGCAATAGATTTTGTAAGACATAAATTTGGATGCACAGTAAAAAGCTTTGTGACTGATAATGCAGCTAATATGAAATCAATGAGACAAGTATTGTCATCTAAAAGAGATATTATCATAACTTATGGGTGTGCTGCTCATATGCTGAATCTTTTAGCAAATGATCTTAACATTAAAAATGTGAGCAAGCATGTTACACAAATAATAAAACATATCAGAATTAATCATCAAGCTGGAGCAATTTATAAACAAAGCAGAGGAACAAAATTGCCACTTCCTATTGAAACTCGCTAGAATTCTGTATGTGATTCACTTGAAAAATATCAACAACTGGAGCATTATTTTTCCAATGTTTGAAAAAAATAAAGACTTGGATCCCGTGATTGGTAAAAAAGTAAGTGATATACAGATAAAGCGAAACACAGAAGGTTTATTGAAAATATTGAAACCAATTGCAGTAGTTCAAGATAAGTTGCAAAGAGAACAGACAAAAGTGACACTTGAAATTTTTAAAGATTTGATGAACAGTTAATCATTTTTTATCAAAAAAAAAAAAAAAAAAAAAAAAAATTGAATCTAGATACCTTCAGACTGTCAGTGATGCTCATTTCCTGGTAAACACACTAGATCCTAGATATTTTGAATATAATCTTTCTGATTAAATCTGATTAGAAAATGAAGCTGCCATAAATTTCGCAGATAAAGAGTTCAAGAATTTGTTACCAATATTATTCAAATTAAAAGCCAAATCTACTATAACATAATGGATATCGAAGGCTTATTAAATGCACCAGCTTATAGTGCTGGAATTGAAAAAAAAAAATCAATTTTTGGTCTTGTTCATTCTAAGTTAAGCTTTGCTGCTTTTTCGAAAAAGCAGCAAAGCTTGTATTTATATATAGAACATTAAATATTGAATAATTTTGATGAAATATAACAATAATATTGATAAAGAATATAGTTTACTCAAATAAAATATGTTATGTTTTTTTTAATTTAAAAGGATAACTAAATACCACACTTTTTAGTAAAAATCTAATTTAAATCAAAAAAACCATGGTTTTGATGGTTTTTTTAAAAAAACCTATGATTTTTGGTTTTTAAAAAAAAAAAAAAAACGGTTTTTTTGCAACCCTGATATATAATATTGAAAACAATATTCATAC